GAAATTACTATAGGTACTAGTAAACTAATTTACTCAAAATCTAACATAATGGTATTAGTCTATAACCTAATTTTACGGCGAAAAATCGACATATAACATAGAAATTGCCTGTTGCATACAAGGTTGGATCTTGGTATTATACTCTGTGGTATGTGCTGTACAACGCTTCAGGTTTTCGGATTCGATCAAAATTCTCCATAAAGATTTCAATTTGTGTTTCCTCGCGGCTTCGATAGCGAAACTTCGTTATAAATCAAAATTTGCGTTTCTTTCAGAATATTGTTCAATTTTTAAATCTTAACACAAACAATTAAAATAGTTTCGTGATAAGTCCGAAAATCTAGAAACATTAATGACATTTTATCCCAGTTGTATGATTTTTGTGTTAGGTAGATCTCATGAAAAAAAAAATATTTCGTTTTTTTACTAAAACAGTTTCCAATCTTCTTTAAAAACATTCTTTCTAAAACAAGTAAAAATTCAAGATCAATTGTGATATTCGTAATCATGGAAGAATTTTATTTTACTCAAAAATAAAATATTACAGAAATAAATAATTACAGATAATATTTTAATGAAAGGTGATAACAATATAAACTATCACTTTGACTTAATTGATTCTTATTTGGAAAAAATATTCTTTGACAAATATTGCAAAAACAAAATTTTTAATGCTTGGACTTAGCTTGAAGATACAGACACAAGAAAGACGCTAAACAAATTCGTCTGATATAATCGGTATGAACAATGAAATAGAATAAAAGTTATGACTCGTAGCCCAGGCTGAAACTGTAGAAATGGATTAATGGAGTAGAGTTAAGTTGACATACCCACAGATGAAGGTCGAACAGGTCAATTTTCAAAGACAGTATTGAATGCAGAAAACAGGTAAATGATGTAGTTCCTCTGTCTAATTCTTCATCCATGGTACATAATTTAATATTACATATAAGGATGTAAGGGCCTATTGACAAATGATGTCGAAAATAAGGAAGATTTACTGAAAAGTATTAGAATTCAATAAGAAACACAAATAAAAATTCATAAACTTTGTCAGTCAATTGTCTGACAAATGAAAACAATGATATAGAAGAAGTGATCTGCGCTATATTATCATATTGAACCTACTGTGTAAACTAGTTTATTATATTAAACAGGGTTTTTGATAATGAAAAAAACAGACGAACTATAAAAGAGGAAAACATAAATACAGTAGCCCCCCTATAACACGGGTTACTATAGTTCGGATTCCTGTATCACGGTGAAAAACTTGCGACAGTATTCGTACAAACATGCTAAAAAAAAACTCCTATAATTCGGTAAAACGTCATCGCCAACTCGTGTCGCGAGAGGATTGGTTGAATCTAGACCAATAGTGGAAAGGCAGCCGAACTACTTTCTGTCGTTCAGCGCCACGCTAGGAGAGTTCAGGCATTTAAGTTGAGTTTACTATCGTCTGTACAGTATATAAATTAGGTACTTAAATTAAACAAAATTAAGAAATTAATTAATAAATTAATAAATTAATATTAAATATCAATAAAATTAATAAATTAAACAAAAGTTTAATGAATAGAAAATATGTATTGATAAATTTTTATACATTTCTTATGAAAAAAACATTTCTTATTCAACGGCCATAAAAATTATTTCTATTAATAATGTCTTCAAAGTTCAGGAAAATTTTTCGCAGAAAAATAACTTATCAGAAAAATTTCGTCATTCGGGACATTCCAATTTTCAACGCTGACTCAGCGCTGACCTCAACATTCGTTAGTCTTTGGGTTCTGATCATCAGCACAGATGAATTCCACAGCTTTTCAGTGTATACAACTTTTAAAGATTGCACAATAATAGTTTCCAGGCCATCTTTCGACAAGTGCTATTCATACCGGAGGACTACTGGAGGACAAAAAACCTCTCCCCCGAGAAACAACCAACGAAAAATTTTTGAGGTGGTCTGTCCGGATATGTCGGGCCCCGATTATACGAGTTAACTCGTCAAATTTGCATAGCGTTACAGAAAACTCGGTCCTTTCGGCCCTAAAATTTTTTTTTTTTTTTTGGCAAATTTTGGATGTTTTTTGTCTCCAAATTTTTTCAAAAACTTTTTCCCGCGCGAAAAAATTTTATAGCGATTTTAATCAACCTTTAATGACGCGCGATTAAAACTTAATTGTTTTTTAATGAGAATTTGATATCAAATTTTATTCTTTGTTCTAAAGTTGTAGTGCATGGATTTGACTTCGGTAAAGTTATTAAAAACTACTTTNTTTTTTTAGTTGTCGTAATATGGAGTGAGTATAAAGTGAAAATACAGCTGATTATTATTTTTTGAACATTTAACTTCATACTTGATCTTTATGCACCTCTGAACCAAATCATACACAATAGATCATTTTAATAGTGCGATTAGTGTTTTAAATTTACGTGCACAGATAATAAATAACAGAAAATTTATACTTTGTTACAGATATTATTCATAAAAAGATCGAGAAAGGATGAAATTTATAATTAATTAAGATAAGTCAGAATATTCTTTGAATTTGTCACATGCATTTAATATAGTTAGATGAAACAATAAAATTAACTAAGTTTTGTATACCTCTGAAAGAGAAATTTTCACAAATCTTGCTTAACAAATTATAAAGTTTAAATGTAAAAGTTGTTGAACAATTTTGAATAAAGAATATTCTCCATAGATTACTCTTATTAGAATTTCTTTTAATGTTTTGGTTAGAATTGACAGTTTTTTCTGTCAATAGACATTTTGTGCTTTTGAATGTCGGTTCAAAATCTGTGTTTTAAGAAACAATACTTTTCAAATTTACAGAAATTTCATATATCCAGTTCCATCATGGATATATCTGTAAGTGTTTTTAACCAAATTTGTATGACCATTTTTCAAATTAAAAGTATAGAATTCTTGTATACATTATTTAACAATCAATAAAACTGTAAGTATTTAAATTCCTTTGATTATAATAATTATATATGTTTTAAATAAGAATTTCCATACATTTCATCATGGAAATTTTTATCAATATATATCAGGAAAAGGTAATGTTACATTTGTACTGTAATGTTTTCATAGTAAACTATTTTTTAATCCTTTTTATTTTTTGTTAAAATAATATTACCATTCTAATGAATAACTATTTCTAGATGCCTTGTAAGTGCTGTATACCTGGTTGCATAGAAAATTATATATCCAGTGTCTATATTTAAGTTTTCACAGGATTTGATTTGAAAAGCAAATCAATAGATTAGAAAATTTGTAGAAAAAATAACTTATTATTTAAAATGTTTTAACAATTATGCATTAAAAACTATGATTTATGTTTAGGTGAAAATATACGTTAAATTGTTAACTAATCTGCATTTTCACTTAGCATATTCTATTGTAATATATATATATTAAACATTAAATACAAGTTTTTGTAAGGTTAAAAATACTGTATTGTCTAATAAATAATGTAAAAAAAACTTAATTTGCAATTTATATTTGTTGTTTTTGATTATTTTATTATTAAAGTAAATGTGCAAAACAGATAAAAGTTACTTCTTGATGTTTAAAAATGTCTCAGCATTAAAACCTTTGATATCACGTAACTTAGTTTAATGTTAAAATGATTGCAAAATTTTCAATTAATGTCAATGCACACAAAAGCTACTGAAAATATAAATAAGTGCTTTTTATCAAGTTTTAGACGAAATGTCTATAACTAATATATTATGTCTCCCTGCTCTCACAGCAACAACAACAACAATACAAAGTTTAGGCTGATCCATTCGATTTTAGTAGGTTGACGTCATTCAGCTGACCAATCAGCGCATTGTGCCATCTGGATATTTAGTCGCACGTATGTTGACTGGATATTTAGTCGCACGTACTACTTTCCAATGAATTGTAAGTAATTGGTAAGACATTTGAATGAAATCCATCATGCTGAGAATGGAATTATGGGAACTAAGCACTTCGTACTCGAGTTGGAACGTCATTGATGATGTCAAATTGTTGACTTCAACATTCAACACTCGCGTTGAAAATTGAAATGTCTCGATTGCTTATGCTTGTTTTCGTCGTGGAGCGGCGCTCCGCGACGAAAACAAGCTTAAGTAACGATATTGTCGAACGGTACACACTCGATAAGTAATCCTACAATTTCTTATCTATAGCATAGTTTATGTGGATTATTCCCAAAAATTTATACGTATTTTGGAAATGTTGAGTCAAATTAGTCTAGAATCGATTAATTTTATGGAAGAAAACCTTCCAAACAGCCATAGTCCATAAACTGCACACGTGGCGGGCTGTGATTGGTTCATGTATTTAATTGACTTGTACAACACGAAAATCACATAAAACGGAACGTATCTACCGTGTTGTAGGGGGGGGGTCAACTGTATATACTACAATGTTAATTTATCATTTATTTTTATACTTGATAAAAATGTGTATAATTTAAAATTAATTTTAATTTATTATTTTTCCAGTAAGTATAAAAATTAATAATATAATTAAGAGAAATACGATAAAAGTTTTGTCTAAATGTAAATATATAATTTATGAAAAAACTGTTTTCAGAGTATAAAAAAATACAATTTCATAATCATATAATTGCCTACTAATCTAATATTACCAATAATGACTGTTTCAGACAAAAATCATTAAAAATAACAAATATTCTATATTAAGCTTTTAATAGATTTATTAGAAATCAAATAAAATATTAACTTGTTTTGAGCTGTGAGATATTTTAAAAAATAAACGGTACTCCATATTTATCTAAAAGATTAATTTATAGGTTTTCATCTGGTATTAAGTTTCATATATAATGAGATTGCGTTGGTAATGCAATTTCATAGATAATTAAACTTTTATAATTATTGTAATATAATCTGTATTGAAGTAATCATACTGTCAAATTTATAATTCATTTGAACAAACGCACGTCTTATGTTACACTAGTTATTACTCTACAACAGAACGAAAGCATATAAAAGTTAAAATATCAAATACGATATGAATAATATCGTATTTGAAGAAATGAATATGAAAATTGCCTCAGTACTCTTTCTATTTCTTGTAGTATATTTTAGTGAGGCAACACGATTAACAAAGCGACGCATTAAAATTGAAATAAATGAGAATAATAATAAGAAGAACGTAAGTGATATAGTTCAATCAAACGAAGGGAATTTATCAACAGAAGAAACTGCAAATACACAAGTAAAGAGCAGAAAAGTCAGGCAATCTGAGCAGCCAGGTAAAACTAAAGTTTATAAAAATTATAATATTTACTATAATTTGTAATATTAATTATTCAAAAAATTGTTTACTCAAGTAAATATATTTTTTCATACAAAATAAGATTCTTACAACAAAACTAATGTTGCGTTCGTGTTACTCTAGACGAAGAAAGAACTTATCGTGAACTTGAGGAAAAATGGGAAGATGTCAGAAGAAGTATAAGTGACGCGTATGGTACTTTGGTTGATATTATGATTCTATTTAAAGAAAATACCGGCTACGAATATTGAATTTATTATCTCATGAATATCTGAAATAAACATAACGAACTTAAAATGGTTTATATGATTAAAATAGAATATACAAATAATGTGTGGATGTATTATTGTATTATAAAAACAAGTGTAAATAAAAATTGTTATAGTTTTTTTTTTGAAAGGGTAAAATGGGATGAGATGGTGAAAAAAAGCTATAAAAGCTGTGATTTTGAGAACAAATTATATTTTAAAAATTTGAACGAACAGGTTCTTAAAATATAATTTGTTCTCACCTGAAAGAACCTGAACGAACAGGTGTTTTGCGGGGCGTGCATCATTACAGATGTGCTAGTCGCCACAAACATTGCTCTACGTCCCCAGACCACCTGTTCGCCACAACATTTAAAAGAGATGTTGAATCAGTATAAGTTTTCCGGACTTCCATAAAATTTACTGATTTCTCACAACATGGTGAAAGATGGATTCTAAATTCAGTGTTTTCTGGGTCAACGAAACTGAGCCCTGCGGCCTTCATTCTACGGTTTCGGATTAAATTTATTTGATTATAACAACGCGACACGTGAAACATCTGCCGAGAACATTTAAGGAAATTGGCCAATATTAAGGGTTTACAAACGTAAGGAAAACGTCTATGAGGGGGCCCGTTGCGTTGGTCCACAAACAACTACTAGGTTGGTAGTTCTATCCACTCGGTGGGCTTGTCTGTTTCACCTTGACACAAAAACACAAATGTGCTGACATTTTTGTAACATTACGTTTAACGTGATTTAAAACGGCACGTATAAAAATACATGTCTGACGTCATAGCTCACAAAAACTACTAGAAAAGTACTGCGGACAACGTGTACTTCTTTTCATAAATATATTTCGTGAGGAAATTGTGCATGTTAAATGCCCGTCGTAAAAAAGTAAAGATCACAAAAAATATTTGATTTAATACTTAAATGTGGTTCGAATATTTGGTTCGGAAAATTTTAAACTAAGAGATAAAAAACGTATTGGAACGCACAAAAGCTGTCCACGAACGAAAAATTCCCACCGCCGCACAGGTAGAGTCACATGATCGTAAATTACGAAGCGAAACCTTCCGAAACGAAAATCTTGCAAAGTGCTGCATGTACTGTACAGGTATAATTAATTTGACTGTTTTGCTCGTACAGGGGTCCACAATTCTGGTGGATGCTATCATTTTACTCTTTGAACGCATTTCTTTTCCATACAGCCTTAATTTATTTCCGAAAGCTCTGGTATTCGTCAAATATTCATTATTAATTAATTAATGAACATATATTAAAATCTTTTAAATTACTAACGTTTTTTAACTTTAATTTATCTTTAATATTAGAAAAGTAATCAGTCTTTTTATATTCAGTTTAAATTTTCCAATTCTAAAAGCACGTTTTATTAATATTCACATCTCTAACCTTTAAATTATCGTTAAAAAGGTTTACTTATTACATTTATTTGTGTGTTTAATTTGCCATTATTAAAATAACCCTTTTCTCTATTAGCTTCAAAAAGAGAGAGTCTAGTTTCAACATCTACCAAAGCTGTATCTATATTATTAATCCATGCTTACATTCTATAAAACGGTCCAAAAACGTTTGTAATTTACTGCTTTAAGAAGCTTGTAATTTCAACAAAAGTATAATGTTTTATGCATGTGAATTTAATTTTCTGGCTCTTTTTCTGACAGGATTAACCGTTCCGTTGGATAATCTGAGACATTCTCTTCGCTTCCGATTCGTTTTCTTACATTTCGTGACAATTCGTCTTGAGATAGCGGCGAATGTTTTTGTTTCCTGAGCCGGAAACTCTGATGTTTTTCATAAAATCAAACACGAATCAAAGGAAAAAAGAGTAAAATCATTCATACCAATAGCCACTGTAAGATAGTGTAAGATAGCGCCTCCTTATCAAGCGATTTTACTAGCCAAAGTAATTAGATTCGACGAGTTCAATAGCATCGTGTATGTTTGTCGACGTGTGGCTATTAAATTCGCCTATTGTTACCGAGCAATTAATTATTGTAGATGTTGAATTGATTAATGTCATTTTAAAACTGGAGTCCGTAACTGACAGTCCTTCCGTATGTACTGTGTAGCCCTAATTATTATCTGTGCATATTTCTGATTGCAGATCACCGAAACATGTTTCGGTGATCTGCAATCAGAAATATGTTTCGTTTATATTATAATCATAATTAAACACTTTTTTATTAAAGTGATAAGCAACTTTCCTACGAATTTTCTGTTGATTTTTCAGCATCGCACATAGATGAAGAATAAAAGATGGACAAGACTGTCATAAACTCAAATGGGATATTCAGAAATTAGTTAAAAATAATATTTACACAGGATAATTACTATAAAGTAATTCTATTTAATAGATTCTTGCGTAAATAATTTACGCAACTTAAAAATCGTTTAATTTTGTAGACTACTATTACGATATTGTGTATTGAATAAAATTATTTCTCTAAAGTTAATCTGTATTAACTTATGCACAATACAATAAAACAATTTACATTTATAATAAATTATTTAATTATTAAGTATAAAAATTATTTTACAATATTCCTAGTGCTGCAGATGTAGGAAAAAAATTAGAAAGATACAAACATGATTTTTCAGGCTCAATATGAATATGTGAGATCGAGTCCTGCTTTTGCGCTAATTCTAGGAAAATTTTAAAATATTTCTCGATCGCGATCGTTAAGAAAACATCGCACAGAAAATGGATAGAATGTCATCCTTTTCATCAAAAACTGTTATGAAATTATAACAATCTATTGATGAAAGAAGGGAAGTCAACCTTCGAACCAGTGAACAGGATGAATCTAACACGTATCGAACCAAATATTATGCTATCAACTCCGTTTAAACGATATCTTAACGTCATCAACTGCTTACCTATAATATTACACCTGTAACTTCGTCTCAAAACAGCCGATCTATTATATTACTAGGCCTCAGGTTGATAAAAGGAGCTCGCACTGGAGTTTCGGGGTGGAAACCGGCGGACTTCCCCTTAAAACCAAGTCTATCTTCTAGCCATATTCCGGCGGACACCAGCGGACTTCCACCCAGACTCCAGTCTTGCCATGTTCCAAAGCGGACTTCCTCCAAGGATTTAGCGTTGCCATTATAATCGAAGACGACGGCTAGACTCGTCATTATCCAGGCGGAAAACCCTACGCCTCGCCAGCAATAGTGGACTTCTTTCTCGCAGAGGTATTGGTCAGTTTGTCAGAATACGTGTAAACTCTCTCTCTTCGAGGAGAGAGGGGTAAAGATTTCCCGAGAACCTCGCAAGCGGCTTGCTTACGCTATGTATGTTGTTATGTTTCGTAGTTATCTTGTAATCTAGGTTTATATCGTATATATTAAATATGTTAGCTTGTTTAAAACTGGTGTTTAAAATTTTTGCTTTTAGATCCCTATCGACTTACCCATTGCGCTTTCCATTCAACAGTCCAATCAACCCTCCTACTCAACATTTGTTTACGATTTGCGAGTTAGGACGCGATCTTTTAACTATCCTAACGGGTGTGAGGTCCTGACATAGGAAGGATTTTGCAATCTCGACGACAATTTATCGAACAACCATCTAGTGACAAAGTGAGCGGGTTTTACAAACTCGTTGCCGATTAAGCAGTCAACCCTCTTTGCCCCTTCCTTACAAATATAAATATCACCAACAATTGCCAAAGTTGTCAGGAATGCATCCTGTTTCGTCGTCGAACTCCTGGACATCAGGCAATTTTGCAATCATTTTCTCGGGAATCAAGATCCATGGAGAGAACGGCTATAAATATCGAAGATTTTTTTCAGACAACACAAAATGGCAAGAAATGTTTGCTGGTGTTTATAGACCATTTTCCTGGATGAGCTGAGGAGATTCTGATCTTGAATATAACACAAAAAACAATTGCGAATGCATCTGCCTGAAAATCAGCTTGTTGCATTCGGTAGCGAACAAATACTCACTGATAGGAGAGGAAATTTACTTTGAAGATAATGAAAAAAATATGCAAGTTATTGCGGATCAAACGAGTCCTAATCACCGCATACCATTTCAACTTAACTAATTATACTGTGTTGAGGTAAAAAATACTGCAGGAAAGTTAACGAACAAGTTATTGTACAGGTCGGTATGGAACTGATTTATTCGCATATACAATACTTATCCTCCAAGAATTTACTGTGTGAGAATACGGACGCTATTTTTAATTTTCACACTAACTGCGTAATTAGCGAGGGTGACTTTCATCGTCCGAAGGTCATCGACGAGGGACCACGATGTCACGTGACCCCCATACGTCCGAGCGATCGGACGAAAAGAATGACTATATAAGGAGATAAGTTGCGAGAAACGGTAATAAATCAGGGAGAACTGTCAAAAAGACGTCGACAGATTCCCAGGTTTTTCCCACGCTAAAGGGTATAAAAGGGGAACGATCTGACACCTCAAGAGCGATCGTCGGGGAAGAAACATCAACGCAGGATCTTCCAGTCTCTCAGGATCTAAGCAGCTCATAATCGCCGCTCCATGAAAGGTAGAAAAACCTGAATATTTTCTATTCTCTCCATATACGACAGAATTACTCCTCGGAGAGGTTATCCGAAGAAACCTCCGAAAAACTTCACAAGGAAGAACTCTACAGATTGGGAGCGACGGAGAATACACCGTAACCGGGCATAGCCACACGGCCTGAGAAGGACATCGCTCTACATAGCCTTAAAAAGGACACTTCGAATTTAGAAGACGACGGTCAGTGCGTTTCATCAACGCCCTATACGAGCATATCCTACGAGGTAAACCCTTGCCATTATTATTTATCTCTCTCTAACGTGAGCTTTCTCTCGGATTTTAGCGTTAGGTTAGAATAGATTTTAGAATACCTATTTATATCTTGATACGCGTGTGTTGTATTTAATATCTTTATGTAAATTTTCTTAGTTGTTTATTAAATGTGTTCGTTAATTTAAACCCGTGTAGTCTTTTGGACACCTGATCGTTACGCCTCCCACTCCTTTTGCCCTCCTATAGCCATTT